CTTTGCTGGTCTTAATGGTGCCACTGGACTCAAACCTTGTTCTGCTCCTTCAGACCAACATGGCTACCCCACCTGAAGCTATAAAACAGGTCTAATGCAGGTGAACCATGCTATGCAGATCCAATCAGAAAAGTACAGAAGCAAAGCAGAACGAATTAAAATCTGTAAGATATAGGATAACAGGCTAATACATGCAGCAACTGATAGTATATCCTAGGGTTGTCAACCTCCAGGTAGTGGATGGAGGTCTCCCACTATTACAATTGACCTCCAGGCAACAGAGTTCCATTCACCTGGAGAAAACAGCTTCTTTGGAAGATGGACTCTATTGCATTAGACCACATTGAAGTCCCTCCCCTCCTCAAACCCCACCCTCCCCAAGCTCCACCACAAATCTCCAGGAGCTCCGCAACCTGAAACTGGCAGCCCTACCACACCATCCTCTGCTGGTGGCCTCAGGGGACCTGGCAACCCTACCATTGCACAAAGCAGGGGCCACAACCAAGAAAGCTATGCTCATTCAGATTTCAGTAATCCTAGTCCTAGTGCCTTGCTCATTTTGACATCTTCTCATATAGATTACACAAGAAGGGGGACCCGCGATACTCGCGGGGTGGGGGGAGGAGAAGGAAGCAGCCACATGTGAGCCTTCTCCCCTGCCCCCCTGTCCCTGGCACCCACAGCAAGGCCCGTGCCTCTCCAAGCCTTCTCCCTCCTCCCCCCCAGCACCGGCAGCGAGGGCTGAGCGGCTTATAGCCGCTGGCCCACCGAACCTTCTCCCGCGGCGGCGTTCTACTTTTGGGGGGGATTTAAATATCTCCCCTATATTTTTTTCAAGTTTTCAGATTTTTCTGCACACCTGGGGATTGCCCCAAATGTGCAGGAAAATCTCTCTGCCCCCCAGGTGCCCCCGATGTGCAGATTTACATATCCGCACACAGGGGGCACCTTCGTTATTAGATATATAGACAAGTGGAGACCCGCGAGAAACTTGCAGGATCGTTATCTCATTCATCACACTTTTGCTTCCTCTCCTCACCCCATACCGCTCTCACACTATTTCTCCCCCCTTCCCCCCTTTTTCTTACACTCTATTTCTCCTCCATGCATGTGACTTCCTCTCTCTTTCTGACCTGTCATCTTTCTCTTTGTTTTTCTGCCTCCCCACTTCATCACTCTTTCTCTCTCTTTCTGCCCCCACCCCATCATTCTTTCTTTCTGCCCCCATCACTCTCCCAGCCTCCTGCCTGCTTCCTCCCCCACTCCGCAGAGCAGCAGCAGCAGTGGTGGCAGTGCTCCTAGCCACCCACCTGCTTCCTCTCCCCCCCACAGCAGCAGTGGCAGCGGTCTAGGAATCACAACAGATCTCCCAGCTACAGAGATCAATTCACCTTAGGGCCACCAGCTCCAGGTTGGGAAATTCCTGGAGATTTGGAGGTGAAGCGTTGGGACAGTGAGGCTTGGGTGGCAAGCAGCCTCAGCAGGGTATGATGCCATAGACTCAACCCTCCAAAACAGCCATTTTATCCAGGGGAACTGATCTCTGTCACCTGGACAACAGTTGTAATTCCGGGTGATTTCCAGTCCTCACCCGGAGGCTGGCAATGGTGGTTCTCGTGGAGGAAATGGCTGGAGGATGGAGTCTATGACATTACACCAGTCCAAAGTTCCTCCCCTCCTCAAATCCCACCCTCTTCAGGCTCCACCCCTCAAATGTCCAGGAATTTCCCAATCTGGAGTTGGCAACCCTATTTCCTTCCCACCCAACAGCCAACCTACCTTTATCTGCCTCTCTGT